ACGGTGAGAGACAGGTTGGACAGTGAGAGACAGGCGGGACAGTGAGAGACAGGTTGGACAGTGAGAGACAGGCGGGACAGTGAGAGACAGACGGGACAGTGAGAGACAGGCGGGACGGTGAGAGACAGGTTGGACAGTGAGACAGGTGGGGCAGCCAAGCTGCAGGTTCTGAAGGTGGTTCCTGTAGTCTAAAACCTGGAGCAGACCTGGAGGTGGAGACCAGGGTCAGGAGGGTCTGAATGGGGGCAGAAGGTTCTTAAGATGCCAGGGACATTTGGAGACATTGTCATAGGTGAAGATGCTCAGGGACAGGAGTCCATCAGAGGGACAGATCACAGAGAAGGTTGGAGTAACGGTTGGTGGGCCAGAGGAGGATGATGGGAACTGTAGGCAGGAGATCCTCTGAGGAGCAGAAACAATGCTGTGGATCTGTTTCTCAGGCAGGTTCTGACCCATCTTAGGGTCTCTGTGTCCTCTGAGGACTTGTCTTTGACCTGAGACATTGTCCTCCTGCAGGTTTGGAACTCTGACGTTGGACGGGGGTTTGAGAGGCTGAAGGACGTCCAGAGACTCTGCTGTTTGTACATAATGTCTTTCCTCTGTAAATAAGTTCAGACTGAGGTTCTGCTGCGGCTGGACCTTCAGAACCGCTTCGTCACATCTCTAAAGATCCTGCAGCCGGCCTCTGGGCCGGGTCATGAAGTCCGCATCCGACACCAGCACCAGAACCTGCTCACGCTTCAACCAGGACCATGATGAAGGTTCCTCCAGTGGTTCTCTGGTCTGGATCTCTGAAGAAGTTCAAACTTTTTTTTCTGTAAAATTTCAAATTAAACGGGAGAAGATTTTTGTTCTGACCGTCCAGCATCTTTACTCGCTTCTGTCCATGTCCAGCAGTCACTGAGCGAGAGGAGAGGGACACCTGGACAGGTCTCAGTCCATCACAGGGACACCTGGACAGGTCTCAGTCCATCACAGGGACACCTGGACAGGTTCAGTTCATTTTTATAGCTCCAAGTCACAACAGAAGTCATCCGGGCCGGGATTCAAGCCGGCAACCTTTCCACTGAGAGGCAACAGCTCTACCCACTAATCCACTGGTCTTCGTTCTGTCCCGTTCTGCAGAAGCATTTTATTTCTGTTATAATTAATCAATAATCAATTATTCTAGTTGGTTCTGTTGGATCATCTTTATGTTTCTGTTTAACTTCCTGTAAATAAAGAACTCTTTAGAGAAGAACCTGCAGCTGTGTTCTGTGTGTGGCCCGGCTCTGACCCGATGCCAGTCCCATCAGGTTCAGGCGTAGTACTGATCCCTCCTCGACAAGTAGGACCGGTCTGAGGGACTGGTTCAGACCCGGTGCTGACCTACTCAGGACAGGTCCAATCTGATCTGGGGAACTCTAGTCAGAAGGTGAGTTAACTGTTTTGTCTTTGATGGGCTTCCGTAGAATCAGAACGTTCAGAAGACGTTCCTCACACCTGGTTTCCATGGCAACCAGCCTGTTGGAGCTCGGTGCTGTGGTCGTCATGGTGATCGCTTCTGTCAGCGCTGGTCCCATAACTGCAGCGGGTCGGTGCTGAAGAGACAGGACAACGAAAAGCTGCTCAAAACAGCAACCAGCTGTAAACAAAAACAACCACCAGTAAATAGCATAGTTAACAACAACAACTTGTAAATAACAATAACCACCTGTAAATAACCAATTAAATGACCACCTGAAAATAACCAGTTGTACATAACAACCACCTGTAAACAACAACCACGTGTACATAACAATAAACACTATAAATCACAATAACCACATGTAAATAACCACCTGCAAAAAACAACTACCTGTAAATAACAATAACCACCTGCAAATGACAATAAGCACAAGTAAATAACAATAACCACTTGTAATTAACCACATGTAAACAACCACCACCTGTAATTAACCACATGTAAATAACAATAACGACATGTAAATAACAATGACCACCTGTAATTAACCACATGTAAATAACAACGACCACCTGTAATTAACCACATGTAAACAACAACAACCACCTGTAATTAACCACATGTAAATAACAATAACCACATGTAAATAACAATGACCACCTGTAATTAACCACATGTAAACAACAACCACCTGTAATTAACCACATGTAAATAACAATAACCACATGTAAATAACAATGACCACCTGCAATTAACCACCTGCAAATATCAACCACCTGTAAACAACAACAACCACCTGTAAATGACAATAACTACATGTAAATAACGATAACCACATATAAATAACAATAACCACCCTGTAAATAACAACCATATGTAAAAAAAAACCAACCAGTTAAATAACACCAGCAAAGTTGTAAATAACAACCAATTGTAAATAACAAAATCCATCTGTAAATAACCACAATAACTGCCTGTAAATAAAAACAACCACTTGTAAATAACAACCACCAATGGTAAATAACATTAACTAGAATAAGCTGCTGTAAACAACATCTGTGTCTTGTTTTTGTTCTGATGTAACTTCCTGTTTGATTTGATCTAAGCTTCCTGCCACCTGGTTCTGGTTCTCTTCTGTTACTGTGTTTTTAAAACTGCTTCTGGTTTTCTGTCTTGGTCCAACTTCTGGATGGTGGTTTGGTCCAAAATACTTGGGCTCTGGATCTCAAACTAGACCAGAACTCAGTCCCGCTGACCCTCCTGCTGATAGATCACTGCTGAAAAATAAAGATCAGGACTCCTGAGCTTTATATTTCTCCTGATTCAGGAGATAAAGTCCAAAAACAAGATGAGAAGAACTATGTTTGAGTTTTTTAGCCATCTCGTTTATTTTGATGCTTCTATGTTTAAATGTTCTCAGCTCTGTTCCATGAACCGCTCAGTGAGGAGGTTTTTACTTCCTGGATTTATTTTTATGTGAATGTTCTCATCAGACCCGTTTTTTTGAGGGGCCCCTGATTCGTGCCCTGGGCCCCCGAACTTGTGGGTCCGGCCCTGCTGGAGGGACGGTCCTCCTCTTCATCACCAGCCATGATGTTTGCTGCCTCTTCCTCCCAAGCCCCGGGTTGAAGCGATGCTTTCAGCCTCCGAACCCGCCTCACGGCCCGGTTCTGTAGCCGCGGTTCGGACGCAGATCCCCGTCCGGTTCTGGGCTCGGTTCCGTCCAGCAGCAGATGCGTCGGCCCTGATGCAGCTTGTTGACGACGTGTCTCTGTGATGAAGATTTGCAGGAGGGTCTCGACGACAGGACGAGCGAACGGAACCGAACCTGTAAGATGGACCGAGGTTATTTCACTTGTTCCGACATCAGCGGGTTCGGTTCGGATTCAGGTCGGGTTTTATTCTCAGTAAAATCAGAATCAGACTGAAATCTACCAGAACCAGTTTCAATCCGGATCAGCCCGTTTACACCGTTTTTATCATGAAACGATGGAACTCTGGTTGATTTAAGAGATCCGGTTGATCTGAAGGAGGTTCAGCGACGATCTGCAGATGATTTAAAGATGATCTGCAGATGATTTAAAGATGAT